GAAAATTCCTTGATTCTAATGAGACACATGTCTGCACAGCAGATCAGATTTCTTGACATATTTATTTCCGATTTATTCACTTGGTCTAAAGGAAGAACACGTTCCAGAACGCACTACAGAACAAAGTTCTTGACCAATTTTTATATGCCCACATTATCATTGGTGGCATATTATGTCATCACCTGTGTTCATGCAGTCTGTCATTCTGTCAATAATTGGCCTGTTAAAGATACATTATTCAAGAGCTAAATTTGCCTATTGCATGTCTTTCTTTAGGCCTTTGGGGGGTTGGATGGCTGAATGGTTAGCGTGCGCGCGCTGTATCATAAAGTCTGTCATTGAGTCGACTGGCGTGGTTTCGAATCCCCGGTTGTACGTGGCAAGGAGTAGGGTCGCCTGTCCAACCTCGTGGGTTTTCTCCGGGTCCTCCGGTTTCCTCCCACTGCTAAAGACCCCTACGCGCAAGCGAATTATGTAAATAAAATTAAACCATATGTTAGTCCCGAAATGACCTAGTTTGTGTCGAGTGGACGTTAAACCCCATTTCTCTCTCTCTCTTCTTTAGGCCTTATCAAATGTTATATAAATTATTAATTAGACATTTATTAACAAAACAAGACCATAATCAACTCTTGATGCCATCGGATAGTCAAGATTTTAACTAGATTAGAACGGTTGGGCCATTTAATGATTTAATTTAAAAATGGAGAAGAGAGGCTAAGCCTCGAATATACCAGTATCATAGTTACGATGATACACAATCAATACACGCATCTTGTTGTCAATTCTACAAACAGTGATAACTTGGCGCAGAATAAAGTAATTTGAATGAAATTTTCAATATACTCTATTCATTTTGCATTATCCATTTGAAAACTATTATAGCAAGAACGATGAGCTCTTTATCTAAATCTTACATAATGTATCTTTAATGCTATAAGACTACAGTTTCCAACCGATTTTAACTAAGAAAGAACACTGTCAAATTTTTCTATCCTTAATTCCAAACACATTTTTAAGAGTTATGTCTCTGAGCACATTTTAATGCTATAGCTTGTGTGCACAATACAGGACAAAGTTCTCGATGTAATATTTAAAAAAAAATTGTGGTATTGTTCATTTGGAATTTTTGGATCTCAAATCACCGAGTTGTTCTTCCATTTACTGTCAGATTTTGAAACAAGAATTTATTATTTACCTTCATAATTCTCATCACTAATCTGAATATCTAATCAAATAAACCCAATTCATCTCTTTTATTTTGATCCAAGTAAGAGAGTGATTTTTAGGTTCTTTATCTATCTTCTCTTCATGAATATAAAACTCAATACCTTGTAAATCCAAATATGGCATAGGTATAAAAGCTCATCAGGCACTACTGTTCATGACCTTGTATTTTATAAGTACCGAGTTGATCATGCCTAAAAGAAATTGATATGTGAAGGTATATATTAAACGATTATTTATTCCATGGCTGTTTATTGGTTGAGATACATGTCAATCAAACACATATTAAATTTTAACTAGATAAGCTTACTACATGGACATGCATTTCACAAAGACAGACATTCATGAAATATGCCCACAATAGAATTGAGTTCATTTCATTTTCAGAAATCGAGGTTGTTGTGTAACATCATTAGGGGTACAAGTTAATCCTTACATTCTCAGAATAGTCATCTTTCTTGAATTGAAATTATTAGTTTTATATTTTTGATTTATATCAAATACTGGATACATAATTCATTCTTTGAGTTTGTCTTTTTTAAAATCAAATAAACTGTAAAATTAAAGAATAGGCACATACATCTAAACTTATGAAAATTAAAATGATTTATGAATTTTTATTTCATTTTAATGTCATCTGGTTTGGCGTCTGAATGTCTTTCTTATATTTATTTTTGATAAAGTTTCGCAGATAGATTTATAGATCTACATTAAATAGAATTTTAAAAAAAATAGTCTTATGTTGTTTGTCTTGTGAGAGTATCTTATATTTGGAATTTTGTGATATTGATTTCTTATGATCGACTAGGTTTAATTACCAGCAATCTGATAAGAAACGTGTTGTTGATTCATGTTTCAAGCTCTGGTATTAAATCTTTGTTCATTTGATAAGATGTAGTAAAGGTTCCCTATGGACTTGAGAGCCCACTTGATAAACCAACAGTCTACAGTAACCTGATAGAAATGTTTATAATTGTATCGGCACACAACATCGGGTTGATTTGATTAACAGAAATCTATATTTAATATACTGGATCATGGAATCTAGTATTGTGTTATGTTATATACTTTGATTTTTATTCGAAAACCAATCTCTGTGTCAGACTTCATTTAGAGCATCATTGGAGTAGTTTGTTCTTACTTAGATTTAGCTAAAAATGTTACCGAAAACTGCAGACAATACTGTATTACCAAAAACTCCAGAAAGTTCTGTATTACGGAAAACACCAGACAAAACTGTGTTACCAGAAACTGGGGAAAATGCTAGGATGTCTTTAGAAAAAAATTTAAGTACCTCCAAAACCAAAATGCCTAAATCTGCGAAGTCATCTGCTCGTGGGAAGTCTGCATCTGAAAGTAAAGATTTGAAATTGAAGTCTTCAAAGTTGGGGAAGTTTAAAGGGTCTGTGAGGATGCTATCACTTTATCGTATGTATTTTATTCATAATTCATTAGATGTTTTACTTGGTATACCCTTTCCATGATTTTTACTTTTTTAAATTTAAAGTGATTCTAAAATTATAATAAATAGTAAAGTTCTGGCTGATAAATTCTTCAAATTAGAACATTTATATTTTCAGTCATATCCTAATTTTTTTAGTAAATCTTATTTGTTCAATTTTTGGAAACATAAAAATAAGAACATACTTACATGACATTGTAATTTAATTACATGTAGTTAAATTGTAGTGACTTTGAATTATGGGAATCAATGTCTTCCATCGCATGGAATTTACCAATAGGAACCTAATTTTATCTTCATGATAAGTAAAATACAATATTTAATTTTAAAAGTGTGTAATGTTTAAATAAAAACATTTATTTCAGAGATTAGGTAAATGTACATTTCAATACTTGAAAAGTAATATTATCTTACCTGGTACAATCGTTGTTTCATTTTGAAACTTATAAAATCGTCATGTTTTCCTTGGTAACTTTCTTACATGAATGGAATTGATTATTCTCTAGAGCATGGCCAGTTGTGTTCTTTTCTGAAGACTATTTACCTCAAATCAAATAAATAGAGATTTTATTAAGTTGAAGTTGTACTCCTTTGACAAAAAACGAGGGCTTTGCTATTGGAAATAATAAGTTACTATACTTCATAAAGGTGATCTTGTACAATGAATGAATTCTTCTAAATTTAATCAGCTTTTCATGGTTTAGTACTAACAGTGGAACACATGTACGTATTGGGATACCAATATTATTCAGTGAATATCATAACTAATATAAATTGCATTAAATAACTATTGAACATGCTACACTCTTTGTCCTCCCAGAAATAAACTTTGAATATACGTTCTCTTTTGTCAACACAGATGTACACACACTGTACATTATTAGATTTTTCTTTACAAGAAACATTTTAGCCGCAAGTCATTTTGAAAAAGTGTATCCTTGAGTTTGGGATAATTCTTATTATATGATCAGTATCTGTTTGGATATCACTTATAATTTTACTGTTTGTTTGAACAATTTTAGTGTCATCTTTGTTTAACTGTGTGGAATTGATATATTAGGTCTTTATCTTTATGGTGGATCATTATCTTTTTAATAAGCGCCTTCTGAAGATCAGGAATTCAATTATATTATCATATATATCTTCCATTTTTATCTATAAAGAATTTTCTAAATAACATTTAATATTTTTTATATTGGACAAGTTCTTTTATTTTTGGAATAATTTTGTAAAAAAGGTCTTTTGTTATTAGTGCAAAATATTTGATAAAAAATGTTAACAGCGATGAAATTGTTGAAAATCAGTGATAAAATCACATCCAAGAAAAAACCCAAATCTGTTACACCTACTCCCAGCAGTAAGTCAAGTGGCCGTCTGTCGTCAAGATGGGGACAAGTGACAAAGGCATCATCCCTGAGAGGTAAGAAAACTAGCTGAAGTAAAGAGGCTTTGAAAATAATGTAATAACCAAATTTGTTCCTTGTTTTATGCATTGAAGGTTCAGAATTAGGATGCTATACCAAGTTGTTTGATAACAATGGAAATATTTCTAGCTTGTCAAAGACTGAAAAATGAATTTAAATTGCAAAGTTTCCTTGCATTATCAAGATTGACCGGCTAGCTATCAAACTTACATGTATGTATCAGTATTTTTAACAAATAGAAAAACAGATTTTCTTTTGATTGTTTTTGGCAGAAATAAACAAAGAAATATTTGAAACGAGATAACATATTATTAAAATGTGTGATACGACACATCCATTGTTTGCATATTTTACAAAAAAAGTATAACAGCACCAGTTTTATAAAGGTACACCTTGATATGTTGTTACAATAAATATTGTTATAGTCTGGATGGTGCATGATGTTGTCAAGAAAAACAGATGTTTTGGTATGCAAGAAAGGTATTTGAGACAGGTGTGATAGGCCAAGGTATCCATTTTCAGATTTTTTTGGGGGGTTAAAAAAGTTTGCGAACAATTAATTTGAATGCATTCAGAAGGTTCTGATCAAGAGAAGTAGTTTAGAAGGGTTCTGTTTGATGTTTGTATATATGACATTGTGATGCATGAATATTATTATATATTATAATATACATGTACATATAAGTGCAGTGTGGTGTTGTTAAACGGCAGTTTGTCCAATCGTGGGGACTAATTGCAATCTTTGTTTATCAGTCAACAACGTCATGATGTTTGTTTAATGGAGAGATGTTTTAATATCTAATTATAACCTGGACTTCTACATTGATAAGTAAACATATCACACTAAAGAGAATAGGTTATCTTTGGTATAATTTATACTAGGAGTTGCCCACGATAAGGCACATTAGAGAGGACAAGTAATTTCTTCAGGATTAAGCATCTCTGAAAAGGATGTCCGTTAGTTCAAAACGTAGTTTGTCAATTCCTTTTGATCGAAAGCAACAGGGTCAAAGACAAAAAAGTCAGTCTGCTCCTGCTGGTATTAGCAGACGTATTTCTACACCAATAGGAATAGATGAGAGGAACAAAGTTCATAGTGCCATTGTAAGGAAAAGGAAATTATCTAGTAAGTAGTTTTGATGGGGGGTAAAGTTTATCATTAAGGTAGCTAAGAATTATTTTGATATTTCTTAAATAGAACCAGTATTGTGAATGTAAAACCCTAATGAAATCATCCTTGGAGTTTTTGAAGCTTGTTAGGTTGCCTTAGTCAAAGGCCTACATATATAGTTAATTAGAATTGCAACAATCTAATTTGGTGTCACATTTCTCGTTTCAGAAAGCAAATTAATTTCTTGTAAATTAGGATATTAGATTAATTTTTGAGGGTCATTTGTTTTAAATTAGAAATTGATTACCAGTGAAATTCAATACTTAAATGCATGTTAGGGCCTAAAATAGAAAAGCCACAAAAATTAGTCATAAATTTATTTGTACAATTGGCGAAAAAAACCTCTATGATATTTTAAAGGTATTGTCATTGATATATATCTGATATTTAAATTTTTATACGCTTGTCGCCCTTGTTTGAACTGTCCACAATTGGTTTGTGGACACTCTGCAGGTCACAATTTCTGACAAAACTTGAAACATAGGTTTATATCCCAAAGATCTTGGTTCCTTTCAATATTCGCAGGTGTTGGACCGTAACTTTTTAGGTTGTGGACTCTAGAGGTCAAAATTATTATCCAATTTAGATGAAACTTTAAGGATATGTTTATATCCCAATGATCTTGTTTCCTGTTGATATTGGCACATATCAGAGCCTAACTTCCTGGATTATGGCACCTGATTGTACATAAAACACGTTTTTAGCTTGTGGACCTTCTAGATGTCATACTGTAAGTTTTATTTCATTTAAAAAAACGTTCAAATATACCACAGTTAACGTAGTTATGGTTGAGTTCATATTTAATAAATGCCCAATAAAATGGCCACTCCCCATGATGCAAATAATGTAAAAGCATGCAATAGTGAATACCAAGGTTGTGGGCCCTCTAGATGTCACAATTTTTATCTGATTTTAGTGATACTTAAGAGCCATTCCACGAGAAAACCATGCAGAAGGTTCGAAGGTGGGGGTCGGCCTATTGATTTCATATTTACTGGGTTTGGTCGACCCATCCAGCCTATTCCCAGCCAAAATCGCCGATTTTAGAAATCAACCGTTTCTAAGATGCAGCCCGATTACGTTTTTCGGCTGATTTTCGTCATTTTCAGGTCAAATTTCGACCATTTTTGTTACATTGCTGTCGCCGTTAATCGACCAATGACGAACTAAGTTTTGGTTGGTGATTATAGTCCAGATCTCACCCTACCTTATTATAATGGTCACCCAATGCAACCTCTCTTTCTGTAGGTGTCATGGCACTACACAAAATACATGTCTGCAGACACCTGAATTATACTCTTTCTTCAAATTGCGATAACTCCACTGGAGCAGGGTTTGCGATAAAAATGAAAATCGTTTTATTTGCAGCTTGACCTGTTCTAACAACATAGAAAAATAAAATCGTTGTCAACTAACCTTCAACAGCATGAAAATTTGTGTCGAAAGTTACGAAATTCGTCACTTTTCGCGTAGAATTTTAGTTTCTAAAGTGTTGGGATTTTGCCCGTATATTCCGGACATGTCCTACGCTATTTTCCAAATGTTTGGCCAGGAATATGCCCAATTGGACATCAAGATATGATGAATAATATTCAGAATTTCAAAATTAATATACATGTAGTAAACTGAGTGTATAACTACCACTCATCCCGATAATTGTTGATAATAGGCTGGATTGATTAGGTAATTAAGTGATCGGCGTATTTATCGTACTATTTTACGTCTATACACCTACGTTGTTTACCTGCTTAATCTGTCTTGCTTGACTGACTTATTACTTTGTCGGGAAAGTCATCAATCTAATCTTGAACAGAAGTTATTGCTTTTTTTTGTCGGAGAGAGAGAGAGAGAGAGAAATGGGGTTTAACGTCCACTCGACACAAACTAGGTCATTTCGGGACTAACATATGGTTTAATTTTATTTCAATAATTCGCTTGCGCGTAGGGGTCTTTAGCAGTGGGAGGAAACCGGAGGACCCGGAGAAAACCCACGAGGTTGGACAGGCGACCCTACTCCTTGTCACGTACTGCCGGGGATTCGAAACCACCTTTTTTGTCGGACTTTTCATCAATACAATAAGGGTGAGTATCAACCTTATCTACGTGATTACCTCGATGGTTTCTCCATTGCCGGAAAATTTAATCTCATTGATATCAACCGACAGCACACTAGTCCTTGATGTAACATATTATCCTAATAATATATAACACCCCAAATCAATGGACAGTCATTATAAATTTCAAAACCTCTGTCTATTGTTAGCTATTAAATCTAACTTATTTTCCGTAATGAAACTACTTCTTTTCAGACACCATATATAAGTTCCTATATACAGTGGCACTTTCTCGCGTTCTCGATTATTGCACGAAAATCGCTTACTATGTAAGGCAGTGGCTACTACGAAACGACTGTATATGTTATATGTTAACGGTCACGTACGCTCCATGCCGAAGTTATGTATGCCTTTTACAAGTGATTTAACAATCAATGTAATTTTAAAATACCATTTTACGAAAATGATTTGACATCACCACAAATAATTCTTATTTCGGACACCTTTCTTCATTTAATGACGTATAAACGAAGACTCGTAATTTTGGGGGAATATTACTGGCGTGAATTTGATTGAAACAGGCACCGATCGGCAAATCTCATTCTATCGTATTTCGAAAACACGTAATTTTGTAGGAATATTACTGACATAAATTTGAATACCATACGGGAATTAAATATGAATAAATGGTTGCCATGCAAGATACACCCACATTTTGCAAGAGATGGACAGGGAACAAGCTAAATAAAAAGCGATTTTTCGTACAACCAGGGGCCATTATCCAATATGTTACAGTCCGACATGCGACAATGTCAAAAGAATCAAGATCTTTGGGATATAAAAGTATATAATATAAAAGTTTCATTTAGAGGGACTTCAAGATTAAAACATGTTTTTTCGTATATTCAGGGATCTTAATTCAAGAAGCTACAATGTGATATGCGCGAATATCGAAAGGAACCGAGATCTTTGGTATATAAACATACATTTTAAGTTACATCAAAATCGGATAAAAATTGGAATTACATACTTTTACACTATTTGCGTATGAGGAGCGGTCATTTTGTCGGGCAGTTTCTCTCCGATTTTCATGAAATTTCAAACTTAATTGTCATTAGGGCGTAACGGTGATATAATGAAACGGTTTTTAAAATCGGATAAGAATTGTGATCTCAAGAGGAACTTCAAGCTAAAAACGCGATTTTTCTTAAAATCGGGGGTCATATTCCACAAAGTTATGGTCCGATATGCGTGAATATCAACAGGGACCGAGATCTTTGGGATCTAAACATAATTGTTTTAAGTCTCATGAAAATCAGGTATGCCTCGAGAGTGTCCACAACCTTGGAATTTTCACAAAATTCGAACTCCGCCATCTATTAAAAACGTTTTTAAAAATAAAATAAAAATTGTGACCTCTTGAGGGGCTACAATCATGGGCCATAATCCAGGAAGTTAAGATTCAATATGCGAGAATATCGAAAGGAACCGAGTTCCTTGGGTTATAAACATACCTTTTAAGTTTCATCAAAATCGGATAAAAATTTTAACCTCCAGTGTCCACAAGCTAAAAACGTGTTTTTTCACAAAGTCCATGAAGTTAAGGTCCGATACATGCAAATAACGACAGGAGCCGAATTCTTCGGGACATAAATCTATATTTCAAGTTTTGTTGAAAATGGATAAAAATTGTGACCTGTAGAGTGCCCATAAACAAACTGTTGACGGACGGGCGGGCAGGGGCGGCGACAATATACATCCACACGAGAATGTGCGCGTACAAAAATAGCGAGGTGTTCCTACTTTTATTACGTGCGAATTTGAATATTTTGTTGACACGTGATTTTTAATTGTGGTGTGAATCCGTCTGCTTAAATAATGGTAATAGTTATACCCCTTTATTTTCGGTAAAATTTCTGACAAGAAAATTTTTGAAATCCCAACTCTAACTCATTTGTTTTTCAATATTTTCGAATGAGATATGGTTTGTCGATAGAGCAACGTGTGAACTTCAAATTGTATCCCTGATGACCTCGCGATTGAAGGTCACGGTGAAGGCTAAATAGGCAATTTTCATGGAAATTGGGTCTGTTTTGAATAATTGTCGACTTTCATCTGCTCCAACTCGACTGTTTTTCAAAATTTTGAATTGAAATTTTTCATAGAAAAAAAATGTTTAAATAATCAGGATTTACATTTTAGATCGAGAATTTGCGAAAATCTATATTCACTGGGAGACGCCATCTTGGATTTGTAGACTGAATACCGAGACTGGATATTTTGGCAAAGCGGGTTGAAGGGGAGTTGGAGTTGATATATTGACTACTTTGAATAACAATATTGGCGATTGGGTACCTGAATAATCCGCCAATGTATCCCAATCAAAACTAAAGTTTTTGGTAACTTTCGACACAAATTTTCATACTTTTGCAGGTTAGCTGACAACAATTTTATTTCTTGTTGTTAGAACCGGTCAAGCTGCAAATAAATTGATTTTAATTTTTATCGCAAAACCTGCTCCAGTGGAGTTATCGCGATCTGATGAAAGGGTACATTTCAGGTATCTCCAGACACGTATCTTGTGTAGTCTCCTGACACCTATGGAAAATGAACTTGAACCGGGTGACCATGATAATTTGATAGGATAAGACCCCAACTATTACGAACAACCAAAACCTAGTTCGCCAGGGTCATGCAAGAGTGGTCGTAGTGCGACAAAAATAGATAAAATTTGGCCTAAAAATGACAAAAATCATCCGAAAAACGTAATCGGCCTGTATCTCGGAAATGGTTGATTTCTGATATCGGCGATTTTGGCTGGGGAGTAAGCTTGATGGGTCGACCAAACCCTGTGAGTATGAACTCAATCGGCCGCCCCCCACCTTCGAACATCTGCCTGATATTGCATGGTTTTCTCGTGGAATGGCTCTTAAAATGTATGTTTATAACCCAAAGATATATGTTTATAACCCAAAGATATCGGTTCCTTTTGATATTGGCACTTATCGGACCATAACTTCCTGGATTATGGTCCCTGATTGTACAAAAAATCACGTTTTTAGTTTGTGGAACCTCTAGAGATCACAATTTGTATTTCATGTTAAAAAACATTCAAATATATCACCATTACACTGTAATTATGGTTGATTCTGAAATTCATAAAAATCAGACTGGAACTGTTACAAAAATGGCCATTCCTCATACACTAATAGTGTAAAAGTATGTAATACCAAGGTTGCTGGCCCTCTAGAGGTCAAAATTTTTATCTGATTTTGATGAAACTAGAAATATATGGTTATCTCCCAAAAAGGTTGATTCTTTTCGATATTCACGCATATCAGACAGTAACTTCATGGATTATGGCCTCTGATTGTACGAAAAATTGTGTTTTTAGCACGTGAACACTCTAGAGGTCACAATATTTATCTGATTTTGATGAAGCTTAAAATATATGTTTATATCCCAAAGATCTTGGTCCTTTTGATATTGTCACATGTCAGACTGTAACATCCTGAATAATGGCCCCTGATTGTACAAAAAAAACCCATTTTTTTTAGCTTGTCCATCTCTTGCAAAATGTGGGTGTATCATGCATGGAAACCGCTTGTTCTTTGATTTTAAAAACTGTTCAAATATATCACTGTTACACCATAATTTCAGTTGAGTTTGAATTTCGTCAAAACCTGGAGGTCCTGTGTTCGATCCCTGCTTTGGCAGAGAAAGTTCATCGGGATTTTCCGATGTGGTTTCTCCTTGTTCTTCCTGGACCTGGTAAGGGACAACGTATAGTAGTTTGGATGGGACGAAAAACCAAGGTCCCACGTATACATTGGTGTGCAAGTAAAAGATTCCTTGGAGGTTGGAATTCGATATAAGAGTAGGCCATAGCGCTGCTGTCCGGGCAAAATTTCCCTCATAGCACACTGTATGGTGTATGCACATCTTCATTAGCTTAGTCAGAGCAGAACAGTAGGATGTTAAACCCCAATTCATTTCATTTCATTTCCATTATTTTTGCTGTATACACAAATGGGGAATAGGTCATTTGGGTATAACTCTTAATTCAATTTCAAAATTGTGGATCTTATATTACAAACATGTTTTGCGGATATTGATATTTATCGATTTTCAATGATAATTCCAAGAGTTAGCCCCTTGATAACGGAACCTTATTAGGAGTCCCGGGACAACAGTTGTCAATTTTGTCATTATGAAATTTTGGCATTTTAGAAGGATGACCCCTATTGATTTTTGACGATTTTTGACAATTTCTGACATTGGTCACAGTTATTGTTGGAAGAACGTTTGAGCCTGTCAAAGAGACAAAAATTACCATTGGCATTAGAGTCAATGTGGAAACTAATGGTGTATTGTGTCCATGTTGTGTCTACAAAACCAATATTTACAAATACAGTATATATTAGAATCATTAATTATAACAAAATCTATGGATATTAATTCTAGCTGTACAAACTAGATTTATTTTTATAATACAACTCAGGAAATCAATAAACTTATTGTTTACTGCCCCCTTTATTTGTATTTATTGTTCATTCTGTGCTCTAAAGAAGAAAAATTGATTGGGGTCATTGTGAGTGTGTTTTTCATTGGTACAAGTAGTTCACTAAATTGATATTTTTTGTGGAATGAATAACTAGTGTTATTTAGGATTTGTTACAACAATAAAGTCTGAAGTTATCAATGACAATTGCTGATTTCCAATCAATAATAGTCTTCTTATCTGGTGCGAACAGAATTAAAGGAAGACAAATGAGTTTGATAAATAACTGCAGTATTATAAGTGCAGGATAACTGCACCACAAACAAGATTCACATGACAAACACCATCAATAAACAACAAATGCATTATACAATTCAGATAAATCTTATAGCTTGATTATAGGCCTACTAACAATGGGTGAAGCTATACCAAGAAAACACACTAGTAGTTTTAAATGTCCTGATGCACCATTTGCATTTTCATTTAAATATCAAAATTCACATACCAATTATGTACTCAGATTGATTAATAAACATTTAATTAAAAAAAAACGAAATCAAATAACTAGGCTATATTAGTATAATAGCTCCTGACTTGGATTCGATTGTATTTTAACTAGGCCCATTAGGTTTCTCTGCTACTGATAAAATATTGTTATGCTTGAGCAGCATAGATCTATAGTTTCACTTCTGCATATCTTTGTAAATACTGAATGGAATTGAATCATTTGTGGACAGACTTTCCCATCAGAGATTCAATTTCACAACGTTGCAGTTTGCAAGGGATTCCTATTGCTTAAAATGGAGCATCAGGACTTAAAGTATCTTTAAAATTTTGATAATGGAATTCAAAACTTAATACAATCAATGTATCCAACAAATTAAAGCCTATTCCAATTTGAATTTCCATACATCTTTTCAAGAAACAAAGTTGTTACTCAGTCTCTTAAAGATACATTATGGAGATTAGATAAAGAGCTGGTAGTTCTCAGTATAATAGTTAAAAATTAGATAATGTAAAGGGAATTTGCTGAAAATTTCAGTCAAATTGATCCACTCTGAACCAAGATTTTAGCGATTGAATTTTCGTCCTAGCCTCAGTCATCATTACTAAAGTCGGTACCATAAAAAACATAGTCTCAATTATCCATTTTATGATAAAATCATGAATGAAAATTGAGCAGCAAATCAGATCCTAATCAAGTAAATATCGCAGGCTAGAGTTGACATCGAGAGTTGATTATGGTCTGGATAAGTTAATTAATGTCTAATTAATAATTTAGATAACATTTCAGGCCTATAGAAAGACCTGCAATAGGCATATTTGGCTCTTGCATAATATATGGTTAACGTCCATGTTTAGTTATGATGTTAGTTTAAGATTTTTGGGTTACCTTAAAATCTGTCATGAAATCTGTGACTTGGTCATAAAAGATCCTATTATCTGTTGTGGCCCTCTCTGCTGTCTTTAAATATTTCTTGTTAGTCTAATATTGACTGTCACATCACACAACTTTAAAATGGCTTCACAGAAAATTAATTTATAACCAGTTTAGTACTGTATATATTTTATGGAAAATTTACCATGGAGCTGTGGCATGTTCGATCAAAGTCTCCTAATCTGTATTCTAAATATTAGAGTTTTAGACATGTCAATATTTATTGAACCCAGATACTTGTATGTCATATTAGGTTGTGTTATACATAATGGGTATTAAAAAATACGTAAATTCCACACCAGTACAGATTTTATGATACCTTCATTTTATGCACGTCAGTTACAAATGGACGTCTGCTTTTGATGCGTTGAAACCAATCTATCAAGATCAATATGCGTTTAATCATACAAAATACTATTATCTGTCTTTCAGATAATTCCTAGTGATATAGTATTTTATTACTACTGGTGTATATTAAATAAACCGTTGTCTAGCAATCTTTGAGGAGTTGGGGATTCATGACTGTCAATAGCTTGAATTACAATAGTCCAGATTAACTCTTTCACCATACTTTCTCGCATAATTTGACAGATTACTAAATTTCACAGATAAATCTTCATTACTGACCGTTCTTCAACAGGTTTTCATTTTTGATCGCTTCTAGCTTTCACAAGAATGTATTTTTGAAGTGTTGAATTTGATTAAATTAATTGTGAAATAGTGGAAGGAAAATATGCTGAACTCAAACAGTAAGATGTTGGGTAGAAGAGCCAGTCGGGGTAGTCTAGGCAGACGTATGTCAGGACCTCGTAAGTCTTCTTTGATATTTGGGAATTAAACAGACTCTTTTAAATGGGTTTCTTTTAGCCAAGTACAGCATTTGAATTAATTTTTACAGGAGGAGCCTTGAGTGTACAGATTAGTGAAATGGTAGACATTCTAATTATTGACTGAACTGAAGACCCCTCGTGAGCAAATATAGAAAATTACAATGTAGATAAATTACAAAACTAAGCTTATTTTATTGACTTTTTCAGATCGATTAAAAAACAAAAAACGAGATGGAACACCAGAGAAATCTGCAACTCCTTCTCAAGACACGACTGACGAGAATCGACCACCATCACCAAATGTCATCTGGAATGAAGAAATTGAAAAATTACAGATTAAATCCGAAGAAATATTGAAAGTAAGAGACTTTAACAAGAATTTATTTGGGTCTTTTTAGTTGGTATGCTTAAAATAGTTTGATTTTTTAAAACCAAAATAATGTCCTCAATTGAAACCATAAATTCCAATTAAAATTCAGATCATGATCATAAATATTATTCAGAATGCAATATACATGTACTACATAACATAAGAAATATTTGTGTAAGAGGTCAATGAAAGGGAATGCATGCTTATTGACTCTATTCCTATAACTGACAGTGATTTCTAGTCAACTAATTATGGCTTCTGAGTATGTCCGATGAGCAAAGTTTTGAAATAACAACACAAGATTCAGCACTTTAAAAAAAAGAAAAATCAGACTCTTTGTTTTTGCTTGTTGTTGAGTAGCTAGGTTCAGGGTACACCTACTCTTCAGTGAAGGAGATAAGTGTATATACATGTAAGAGACACGCAATATTTAAACAATTTCTTTAATTTTCATGGAAAAAAATAAGTGCTAAAGGTGGTCATGACTCGTGACAGACAATACCTAGCCAAGAAATAAATTTTGGTATTTTGACTAAAGGACTTTTCAAATGTACAAAAATTATCCCATTTGAAAGGTGGTAATTGTAAGCATACCCTGCCTCATGCAATGTAGATTTTTGTTGTCATTTACTCTGATAAAGATGGTGAAGTTTTTGCTACTATAGAAAATTTGAATTTAGTTACATGAACCAAAACCTCCAGCTGAAAGGAAGAAAACACCAGTGTCACAGAAAATCAGTGTTAGAAAATTAAAACCTGCTTCAGAATGGGATAAACCTAAACCTTTCAAGTAAGTCCATTTCTGACATTTAATTAACTTTTACAAATGTATCTGAAAAAATTAAGGTTTGATAGTAAAGTAATTTACAAATGAAAATAGGCCATGGAATTCAAGGAAATATATAAAATGGCTGTATGAGTAATATCTTAACCTTCCTTGGTTTGAAAAATGTTGAACATCTTGATATGCATAAAAAAAAATTCTATTTCCATCTGAAATATGAATAATTTGTGAAAATATTCATACATTGCCAATGTCTACATAGATTTATTATGTTAAAATGTTTCAGTATAACCGTTGCCCGACCAGCTTCTGAAGATGCCCCATTAAAACCTATAAATTATTCGGGTTATGGCGGACCACAGTACAACAGTAAAGGTGATGTTCTATCCCATAGTTTACTGGGATCATTTGATGATTTTCACAATGAAGCTGTTAAAAGAGGAGACTTTATAGTAAGTACAATTTTAAATGGTAATGATAAAAACAAACTTTTTTCTAATTCCTCAATTAAACTACAACATGAAACCATATGAATGGGAGACTTGCAAGTACCACAAAAATCCCAGTAAGTTTAAACAGGTCAAACCGTACTGATGATGGATCTACAGTACCACAAAAATCTCAATAAGGTTAAATAAGTCAAACCACACCGATGATAGACCTGCATGTACCACAAAAACCGCTATATGGTTAAACAAGTCAAACCGTACTGATGGTAGACCTGCAGATACTACAAAAATCTCAGTAAATTTTAACAGGTCAAATAATACTGATGGAAGATCTACCTACAGGTACCACACAAATTTAAGTAAAAGTTCAATATGTCAAAAGTTCGGAGAAAAACTGAGATACACCAGCATTCCTTTCCTTCAATTCCCCAGGTTTAGTGCTCATGGTCTAGATTCAGTACGATTTGGTTAAATGGTTGATCTGGGTGACGGTACAACATAAATAAAATGAAGGTTTTATTTCTTACTTGATCTTGGTACCTGAGAAATTATCTTTGATAATTGATGGTGGAAGGTAGGCTGCATGGTAAAATTGGAACTTTGACCGGGACTGGGGCCTAGCTGGAAATTAGATAACTCTTGTCGGGAATACTCCACCCTACAATTGTCTGACAATTACATAGCTCTGTCAGGGGTACCCCACCACTAGAAATGTCTGTCAGAGTGTTTTTGTAAAATCTGAAGATGTTTGGTACACTGCTATACGATTTTCATGTGGTACACTTTTGAGCTCATCTAGCCTAGTTGGGGGCATGGCATTTTGGACGTGGAATACTACACACCCACCTTCAGATACCCAGCAGACTTACATTCTGATGATACCCGATATGCATGCATTGATACCATCCATATAGGAGAAAATTGGTACACTTTTCGGCTAAGTTGACCCCCCTGGGCTCCCACTCTATTATTTTTAGCAATGTAATTCATTACCATTACACATTACATTGAAAGTTATTAATTAGCATTACCCATTACTTTATTTTTTGTAAACAATAAAAAAAACACACCTTATTTTTTCTACCATGAAGCAACTATGAAATCTCACTATAACAGATATTTCTGTATGGATTTTCATTTCTATGAAATATCACATCAAGCCAAAGGTAAATTTTTTAGGGAGGGGCAATGCATGACAAAAACTATTGTTCTAACTGTATGGCTTTGAAAAATAGACTGAAGATATAGTTCACTACATTAGATAAAATTAGATAATTAGGGTAATTAGATAAAATTTATAAGCAATTCAAATAGTTTGTCTATACAATGGGGAAATTATTCAGCATGGCTGTAAAACAAAATATATTCAGATATATGTTATATGAAGTAACCTCCTTAAAAGTTTTGAAGCATGATTAAAATTTGTAAAGTAATGATGTACTAAAACCAAATATCCATTTTAAGCATTTCACTTTTTGTGACAATATGGGGTTTGTATATCTATACACTTTATTCCAGAATGTTGAAACACCAAGAGTTGACGTTGACCAATCAGATAAACCAACATTAAAATATCAAAAAGTTAAACAATCTAATATACGAAAGACAGCTGATGAAAACAATGCTTTGATTAATTGGCAGTTAAAAATGATAGAAAGAAAGAAACAGCAAGGTTATATATCTAGTAAGTAATTGAAACATAGCCCATTTTATCCATACTTGTTTGACATTATTGTCCATGTTGTCCATTATTGGGGAGCCACATTACGAACCAAGGATCAGGGGTTTGATTCAGGTGTTGGCCGAGAAAGTTCCCCAGAATTTTCCAGTACAGTTTTCATTTGTCAGTAGTGTAGGATCAAGGGCCTGTCAAGGAATGTTATCTAGTCGTTCGGATGGGATGAAAAACTGAGACTTATGCCTGTCTTCATTATCCGAGTCGGTGCAGAACAGTAGGATGATAAACCCCATTTCATTTCATTGTCCATTATTGACACTGTTATTATTGTGTTTAAATATGCCTAATTTGTGATATTTGTTGGGGTCAAAGATATCTGTAGTAAGATAACTCCCATCTCCAACCAAAGGTCCCACCCTGCTGCATTCCCTTGTGGGTTCACTTTAGTTTGCTTCCAGAGATGTGTGGTCATAATATTAATTAGGATTTACCCTTTCTTAGCCAACAAGGATTACGATTAAATAATATTTTTCAGATTTATTACAAGTGAATCCAGAGGATTTAACAATGAATCAAGCTGATAATTATCGTAAAATGCAGGAAAAACGTGAACTTATAGATAAAACTATTCCAGCTGTAGATTATGGGAAAGGCTGTAAGTTTGTTTATATTTAACATATTTATATTACAATAAATCATTTATTACATTCAACAGGTCTCATATCTCTTGAAAAAAAAAAACACAGACTCATGTCAACAGTCTTGTCGTTACAAAATAAATCACTCAGACACATTTCAACGTCTCACCTATTATGTTTTCTTTTTAGATTATATCAAGAAAAGTAGGACATTAAGCCCCATTTTTCATTTCATTTCATAACATTACCTTCTAGTTTTAACCTATTTCCAGATCGTGTTGGAAGTGAATTTTGGAATCAGCAGAAATTACTTGGTGATGAAGTTGGAGGAGTACAGTAAGGATATGATTTTTAGTTGAATATAATTTCAGGCACAGAGATTGACCAATCTTTAAATGTTAAACTGTGTCTGATTTCTTTCAAATCATGTGAAAATTTGTTGTTAAGAAACTGAACATATTTGTCATATTCTTTTCAGCATGACATTGAACCAGACGGAATGTGGTAATTATCCCCCTTTAGAACATGTTGGTATACCACAGACCATACGACAAGAGAAAGGTAAGCTGGATATATGTACAATATTTATTGATCTCAACATAAAAAATGATTATTTTTTTGTATCCTGCAGAGCAATAAGCTTACGATCTTTTGATCTAACCTCAGTTTTTAGAAAGTAAAATCTCTATTATTATTTATAAATGTAAATAATTTAACTTATCTTTTCTTACCATAAGATTTGACAAGTCGTAAGTAATAATTTAATTATAGCATATTAAAGTAATTATGTTGTGTAAAAGGATATATAATCAGTTATTTGAACATATCTTTCTTTCTCCTTTTATATAGACGTTTGTGTAGAGGCCCATTTTTAAGATATAATAGAAAACAATTTTAACTGATTTTCCCATACTGAAGATAGGGTTCCAAATCATCCTGACTATTATAGTCCAATTGTTTTTATAAATCTGCAATCTGAGATAATAGAATTAAGATCATTAATTGTTCAGAATGGTTTTTTTTATTACACGCCCACATTTTCATGTGGACGTTTATTGTCGTCGACCCTGTCCGTCCGTCCACAATTGTTTGTGGACACTCTACAGGTCACAATTTTTATCTGATTTCAACCAAACTGAAATATAGGTTTATCTACCTAAGATCTCGGTTCCTTTCGATATTGGCATGTATCAGACCGTAACTTCATGGATTATGGCCCCTGATTGTACGAAAAATTCGTTTTTAGCTTGTGGACCTTATAGAGGTCACAATTTTTATCCAATTTTGTTGAAACTTGAAATGTAAGTTTATAACCCAAAGATCTCGGTTCCTTTCGATATTCGCACATATGTTTGAATATGTCACGGTTACACCGTATTGTTGGTTGAGTTCGCATTTCATGAAAATAGAACCAAAACTGCCAGACAAAATGGCCTCCTGTCCACGCAAATAGTGTAAACCCCTAGAGGTCACAATTTTGATCCGATTTTAATTTTATTCCTGTAGATATTCGCACATATCTGATCGTACCTTCCTGAATTATGGCCCTTGATGTTACGAAAAATCGCTTTTTGTTTAGCTTGTTCTTTATCCATCTCTTGAAAAATGTGGGCGTATCCTGCCTGGCAGCCGCTGGTTGATTTGAAAATAGAAATCTTATCCAGACATTGACAGGTCAGAATTGCCCAAATGAGATTCCTGTCTTTTCATAATAAGATATAATTAATTTGTAACATAGAGAGTGTCATTAATCTGCTTTTATGTATGCTTGTAGTTATGTAGTTGTATAAAAATCTGTGGTGCATGTAATGTTTGTAAAGCTTTTTATGTGAGTGATTATAAATTTTAATCTTTTAGAGGCATTTAGTAACTGGATAGAGCAATGAACTATAACACATACTTATGGAAGAACAATTACTGATTTATCTAGGCGACGTTTCAACGTTGCTTGAAAACGTTGAGAGAATACTCTTCGAAATGTTGCCTAAATGAATCAGTAATTGTTCTTCCATAAGTATGTATTATAGTTTATTGATTATCAATGTCTTTAATCTACATATTGGAATACCTGTAATTGATAGCCGAATCAGATTAATTGAACAACATGCAAAATAGCCAATTATAAACAAGTAAGGGCTAAAGGGTGATTGTTGTTATGAAATTAAAACAAAATATATATGGTACATGTACATAATCTATATCCCCATTGAAATAAAGGAAGGGATCTGCTTTTGTGTTTATTTAGATTTATTCATAAAAGAAAAGATATCTGTAAGTTAAGTCTTCAATATAAAAATTGAGAAGCATACCATAATAGGAAATATAAAAATGATTATTTTTAAAAACTATAGAGAATGCAATAATATATTTGTTGACTCTTTTATTTATTGTTTTATTTTAGGTTGGACTTGGGGTGAATATCACAGAAATGAAGTTCATTATCCCTGGCATAAAACGCCTTATCTATCGGCTCGTCAAAAACAGTTACAGCATCTAATCAATGAAATAGATCCACATCAACCAGTGAGTTTGGGCATTTTTGGATAAAAGAGAGTTGCTTCCCTTTACATGGAAAAGCGACTCAGAATTGTTGTAATAGACATAGATATTTTTTATTAAAGATACATTATGGGAGATTAGATAAAGAGATGTCAGTTCTCACTATAATTGTTAAAAACTAGATAATATAAAAGGGAATTTGCTGAAAATTTCAGTCAAAATGATCCACCCTGAACCAAGATTTTAGCGATTGAATTTTTGGCCCAACCTCGATCATCATTATTAAAGTCAGTACGATAAAAAACATAGTCTTGATTATCCATGACCATTTCATGATTAAATCATGAATGGTTGTCGAATAGCAAATTGGAACCTAATCCAATAAACATCGCAGGCTAGCGATGACACCGAGAGTTGATTATGCTCTGGATAAGTTAATTAATGTCTAATTAAAAATTTAGATAACATTTCAGGCCTAAAAAAAGACTTGCAATAGGCAGATTTAGCTCTTGCATAATGTATGTTTAAATCTACATTCTAATTGTGTTGTGTAAGTAAATATAATTTAATTTCAACAAGTCTGTTTACTTATTTTGCCAGCCGATCTATATTAATAAAGTGATATATTCTACTGTTCTACTGACAACTTACTGTACATATGTCATTTTATTTTAACTTAGAATTTTGATGGTTTAGAAATCATAGGAACTAACAGACCTGTACAAAAATCACAGGATATAGAATCACATTCTGGTTTAACAGAAATAGAAACAGAGGAGGAAGAAACTTATGTGTAAGTTAATGTATAACTTTATAGAGCTTTTAAAACCCTTAAAACTTTCAAATCAAGGAAATGTAGACTTCAAGTCTTAATTATCTCAAAATTGGGACATTTGGAGATTTAAATATATTGGAAAACCATTCCGAGAGAGATAAAATTTCCCATTTTCTTATCTGTCAGTAAGAAAGTATTTCAAAATAAAATAATTTGCATTAATCAAATATTCATTTTGCTTAATTTCTTTGAATAGAGATCCATTAAGAGACCATCCAGATGTTTACCCTGCACCTATATTTGGTCCATCTCTTGAGTTTGCTGGTCAACCTGCGAGATGGACAGGTGATAGTCACAGTTTTCAAGATCAAATCGGTATAGAAGCTAGAGTTACATTTGAAGCTTATACTAACGTGAGGGTAACATCTTATTTGGAAATAGTTAATAATGGAACAACATCTATATACTTTGATTGGAAGGTAAGAATATTTAAAATGCTTGTTAAATCATTTGCTTACACCTACATAACTAACCAGAAAACAGGGTGTTTATTCACCTAAAACTTGAATTTCTTTAATTTGATAGTATCTTAAAGTGAGTAGGCCATCTTAATGACATTTTTTTACCACAGTAGGGGCCTAATCTTCCAAGCGATTTTAAGAGAACTAATTTTTGGTCAATAAGATCCATTCACTAATTCAAGGAAAAATTGCTTTTATGTAATGTAATTTTTTGTTTAATCTTCAGTACACTTCTATTTCAGAAACTACCAACTGAAAACCGATTTGAACTGGTCAAGTCATATATCCAACGATTTTATTTCAACAACAGCAGTGGTAAGATCCATTTGATTATAGAATCTTAATTAAATAATTTGGTTGGGTTAAGGTTGTTCAGCATGGGTGGCCTAGAAGAACCTTCATAGTTGTTCCAACTGAGTTTCCAGGTTTGAAAAAAAGGAGAATTTTTAAAGTAATTTAGATTGTAAAAATTATTCTCCTCAAATGCATTAGATATATACTAAAAATCAAATAAAATTCCCACTGGCATACAAAATATTTATTAAACAAACCTTCTGTTATGTATGCTGTGGCCATTTTGGATGCACACCACTTTGACAATCACCGTTTCAAATGTACGATTCCAATTAGAACACTAAATCAATTAATTGCATAATGGTGATTGATTGAAATGCATTCAGTAATACAAGTGAGGTACTGCCAGTATGTTTTTAGGGCCCTGGTGTTATTCATGTTTTGTGGGGCCCCCGCCCCTATTGTGGCACCATTACCATCCCCTCCTCACAGGTCCTTGTCATCACCCCTTAAGCCTTAAGTGTTAAGCCTTATTTTTCAATAACTATTTTTGTATTTAAATTTTAAATGGAATTTTGTGTACAGTTTATTATTTATTATTTTAGGTGTGATTCTACCAGGAGAAACAATGAAGTTTCCATTTGTGTTTAAATCTGAGAATGCTGGAGTATTTACAGAACAATGGAGGCTTGAAACTAGACCTGTAGTATGTGGAGGGGCAGCTTTAATTGTTACATTAAGAGGAGTAGCTTTACAAGAGGATACTTATAAAATACATAGAGAAACAATAGAGGTTAGAACCATATATATTATATATATTCAGTTTTGTTGATATATTTAAAGGTATGTTCTCTCCAGAAGAATTGGGTTAATTGAATGTATGACATTTCTTTGGAAAACGAAAAAATTATATACAGACTTAAAGGCCTGATGTGCCATTTGCATTTTCAATAAAATATAAAAATTTCTCTAAATGTGTACTCAGATTGATTATTTAACATTTAGTTAAGAAAACCTAATCAAAATACTAACGCTAGATAACCTCCTGGCTTGGATTTAATCGGATTTAAACTAGAACCATGTGCCACCAATAAAAGATGGTGGCGTCTTGTTATGCTCAAGCAGCATAGGTCAATGAAAATTCAGCTCAACATAACTTTTTAAATACTGAATGAAATTGAACCATTTTTGAACTGATATTCTTATTAGAGATTAAACTTTCACAATATTCACGCATCAAGTCTTTTAAGTGGTTAAGCTTAAAATAAATATAATGATAAAGGCAGGCTATCCTGTCAAACACAAATTTAGCTGACTTAACTGAGTGTATTCATGTAAGTACATGCTGTCTTCTAGTAAAATATTTGGCAACGAACTCTGAATATGGCTGTTTTATTCACTTTCATGGTTTCTAGATAACCCTACAGCATTTTGTTTGATAAATCTATACTCAACACTACTGTATCAATACATAGGTTTTGGGTTTAACTAGTATGCCTGTTGTCTACTGGCTAATTGAATAACTCACTTCCTGCAGATATTTCCAATTTTCTGTTAAAATAAAAGTGGTGATTTGTTTAGACTCGGTTGTGACTCATACTTTTTTTTATTTGCAAAAGAGCATAAATTTCTTTGAAAACAGTACAAATGCTAAAATATTACAAATGACAAATTATTGTTAAATATTATTAAACGTTAAATATTGTTAATTTATTATATTAACAGCAACATCTGAGTGATAAACAAGCTAATCAAGTTGTTAATCAGTTATTATATGAATTAATTGATGGTATAAGAACACCTGAACGATCACGATCACCTATAGATGCTTATATCACAGAAGAAGAAACCTTTAAACGTCTAAATCATGGTGTAAGTTGAATTTTGAACATAAATTACATTTAAGCATCTCCACTTGTAATGATTGGTTAAAATTCAGTAAAATAAAAAGATTTCTTGGCTTGTTTCACAAAATTTTAACTAAAATAAAATCCAAATTTTAGTAATTTGATTGGATAATATTAGATTGATTTTAGTGCTTAGCCAATCAAAATTGAAGTATCTACTAAAATTTGGATTTTATCTTTAGTTAAGATTTCGAGAAACAGGGGGCTCAGGTTCTCAGGATACACTGACGGAAATGTGAAGATATTGGATAGGGGATACTGGCCTTATTTCTGTGGTTACATTTGCAACACAAGGAGGGAATTCTTCCTGGATAAAGACATTATTAAGATACACAACAGAAATAGTGAACTAATTTTGATAGTGCTATCCACAGAGATAGAGAGCCGAATGGGGTTTAACATCAACTTGAAATAAACTAGGTTATTTTGCTATGAACATATGGGTTAATTTTATTTCTATAATTCACTTGCATGTAGCAGCTGAAGGAAAACCATAGGATCAGGAAAAAAAACATAAGGTTCGGCAAGCAACCCTACTCCTGGTCACATACAAGCTTGGGATCATATATACCCAGGCCACTTGACTCAATTAAAGACCTTGTGATCTAAATTGCACTCATTATACCACTGGACCACACACGCACCCACCCTGCTAACCAAAGCCTACCAATATATATGACACCTACTATAACAATAATTTAAACAATATTGTAAGGATTTTAGAGGTATGAATTGTTTGATTTTATTTAATAGATGTGTTATAGACATGAACAGGTAGAAGAATTAAAGAGAATATATCTACAGTTGTTTACGTTAGATAAAAGAGATGATCAAAGCTGGGATTTATCAATTGATAATCTCAAACAGGTAATGTACAATCTATTATTTTAGTATATATGACAGTGCAATTCATCCATACTTTTAGGTGTGTTTCTTACAGTTTGATTACATCAATTATTGCACCTTCCAAAATTATTTTCACTGGTAATTGAAACTCTTTTTATGAACAAGAAAAATAAATTGATTTATAAGCTTCTTATAATAGATAATATAGACATTCTATCCTGTCAATCAGTAAAATTGACTGATTCTGTCATATATTTCTCTAAACTGCTGACTATAATCAGGAAAACCTCATATATTTATATTCTTGATGTCTTCACCATTGTTATATTATTTAAGCATTGAGTTGTACTGGTATGTTGGGCATAGTGTCGAATTAACCATCAAGCAAATAAGGCAAGTGCCTTTGGGCCAGCCAAAAATCCCGGTCACAAAAAAATAAAGTAAAAAAAAAATTTGGATAATTATCAGACGATGATAATAAAAATGCTTCCCTTTATTTTCTTGTAAATGAATGGCATCGTTCTTCTTCTACGCATTGGTTCTAAATTTTTTTGTAATACATTTTCAGTTGTTAAATTTACATTTCTTCCTTTTATCGGTGAACCCAAAATATCTGTATTTTTATGCCACCTTTCAAAATGTGCCTTAGGGCCAGCAAAGTCTTAAGGCTTAATCTCAGCCACCGAGTGCAAAGAAACTTTTGGCACCCCCCACACTAAATTTTGTTAAATTATAATATACATTCATTACATATTTTTTTATGAATTAGTATTTTGTTTCGATTAAATATCTTCTTTGATAACTCAAAGTACAATTTTATGGATACACATTTTGTGGATTTATTACAATGTAACGCTGCAATGAAGACACTCTCGTCTTTATTGACTGTGATAAAGTTTCCATGTCCTTATTGTGTTTACATTCTTATTATTAACTGGATTTACAATAATCTTTTTCATAAATTATATTTGAATTTTTCATAGAAAATATTAGAACTACCTGAGGATGATGAATTAAAAGAACCAATGTTACAGCAAGTTAATTTAGCTGTACAAAAAATATCTTTTCTACCTACATTACCTGTTATACAAGAAATGGAGAAAGTGGCTTATGAACAAATTTCGGAAGCCATTGACAATATCTGTGGTTATTCTATATACTTACGTAATGCTGTCGGACTTCCAGAAAAAGATTTTGAGGAAAGTTTGGAAGGAGATTCAAGTAAGTGCAGATTTTTGCAATATGTTTCTTAATGGGAAAGTGTGATTTTATTTGGAGATGAGTATTTAAAGTGGTCATTAAATTAAATATATTTTAATGGACAGTTGATGTGGGAATGAAATGAAGTTTATGTAATTATACAAATTTACCCATATGTGATCTTACAAGGAAAACAAGAAGATTCTGGCACCTTTGTAATTTGTATGCCAAAAACTATGTCGTATTTGTTTCCGGGCAAACACAAACATTTCAAAGTTGAATTTAGATATCTAGACTTGAATGGTTAATGACTTAATCATCTAGTTAAAATTGTAATTTTAATCAGCAAAACCAGAACAGACAGAAAATATTGAAATAAAAAAGAAAGGCGGTCGTAAAACTGCAGCTAAAAGTTCTAATGCTGAATTAGACCTTCCACTGAGTGAGTACCGTGTAGAGCCTTAGAAAGCTGATAGGCCTAGCTACAAAAATCAAAATTAGGTTTAGTAGTTTCATTAGATAGATACAATAGAACAGCTTTAGAAGGTTTATTTAATAGTGCAAGGTACTATATCTTGCTGGTAATAGTTGTAGACCTACTGGGTTCCTAATATAAATAGATTTCTTTCAGAAACAAGAAGAAAAAACGATTACCGTCTGCTGTTAAAAAAGTTTTTATAATAAACAATTTTAGAGCAATGGCTAGTAGATAAAAAGTGTTTTGATTCATAGTTTGTTCCTGTTACAAATTTATTATTCTTTTTCAATTTTCTATTTCAATTTTTTGAATCATTAAAAAGGCATTATTCAGTTTGACTGTAAAGATACATCAGACCCATTCAAATTAGATTGTATACAAAATTCCTTGTTCTGAGTAGGCCATTACTTAAAGTTTTGATAATCACGTGTGTCTCAGAGTTACTTTGAATATATTAAATAAAATTCATTACATGTATTTTCTTGAAAGTGATAATTTATAATGATGCCTCTTTAAGTTTCATAATTCAAGTAGAAAATATTTTTTGTTGATAATCATTTTAAAACTTCTTGAAAATTCCAAAGAAAACAGAAGAGAATTAATTATTGTTTATAGTATTTGTTTGGATTAGTATTCTGTAGTTTCGGGGGGTTTTATTTCATGATTTTTTTTTAACATTATTTTTTTAATATTTAGACAGTTTTTAATTAGATGATTACATTTTTTGCTATTAGGAAATACAAAATCTAGTAAGTATGTTGAGTGATTTGTGTATCTGCTGTGGATTATAATAAGGAATCTGTGCTAGTCTATTTGTGTTTTTGAATACGGTATTTCTATTTTACTTGCCCATCAGAAATTTGACTCTTAAGATTGAACAGTTGAATTTTATTTTGTTATTATAAAAAAATAATCTAGAAATCTGGGGTAATTTTCATACTTTGGTGCATATTTATTATTATATAAAGGGGTATACCGTAATAGATGTTTTAAAAATATTTATTGGGCACCATTTCTGTCTTTTATGCTTCATATAGCTTATGTTGGTATTTAAACAGATTTTAAGTTATAAATTTATCTGCACCTTACTATTCATATCCAATAAACCGAGTAATATGTAAACCAGTGACCAACCACATGGTCATTGTAACAAGAAAGCTTATATCTACACAAAAAGCTTTGCTGTAAAATGTAGTAGAGAATCAGCTCTGACTTCACTAAAAGTTTTGCAGTCTGTTTCACTGAGGTTTTGCAAAAGTCTTCTTATACCTCAATATAAGATGACAGACCTGAAAGTTTTGAAGAAAACAAATAATGAGGTTCTTAAATAGAGTTACCTCCCCTTACCTGTTAAACAAAATTCCTTTCACTGTTGTCAATATTGTTCAATTAATAATAAACCACACTTTGATTTATTGCAAAGTCACATTGCAAATACATAGCTTTTAAGAATTAGATATTTTCCCCAACGAACTAAATACTGTGGTATTACCGGCCAAAATTGTGTATAAGAAAGAATTGATAGGGGATTCCCAACAGTTCATGAAGTGAATTTAAAAGGGTTGATTTGGTTCTTGTTCAAACTTGTTGAGTAGGCTACTCAGAGGTCACATACCTTGATAGGTCTATAGTGTGTGCACTGTGCACCATGTTATACAACCATATTTTCATGTGAACGTATATTGTCGTTGCCCTTGTCTGTCTGTGAACGTATATTGTCGTTGCCCTTGTCTGTCTGTGGACACTCTACAGGTGACAATTTTTATCCGATTTGGACAAAATTTGAAATATAGGTTTATCTATCAAAGATCTCGGTTCCTTTTGATATTGGCATGTATTGGATTGTTACTTCATGTATAATGGCCCCTGATTATACGAAAAATCACGTTTTTAGCTTGTGGACACCTTGGAGGTCACAATTTTTATCCAATTTTTGATAAAACTTGAAATATATGTTGACAACCCAATAATCTTGGTTGCTTTTGATATTCGCACATGTCGGACCTTAACTTCCTGGATTATGGTCGCTCTAGAGCGTTTGAATATATCACAGTTACACCATAATGATGGTAGAGATCGAATTTAGTGAAAATCGGACCAAAACTGCCGGACAAAAAGGCCGCCCAATCTAATTAAAATGCACATTTATATTTTGTTTTTTAGAAGCCCACATTTTCATGTGTACGTATATTGTCGCATATTGTCGTGGCCTCTGTCCACAATATGTTTGTGGACACTTTACAGGTCACAATTTTTATTCGATTTTGACGACACTTGAAATATAGGTCTATCTTCCAAAGATCTCAGTCCCTTTCGATATTGGAATATATCGGACCATAACTTCATGGATTATGGCCCCTGATTGTACGAAAAATCCCGCTTTTAGCTTGTGGTCCCTCTAGAGGTCACAATTTTTATCTGATTTAAAAAAACGTTTTAATATATCACTATTTCACTCTAATGATAGTTGAGTTCGAATTTCTTAAAAATCGGACCAAAACTGCCAGAAAAAATTGTACGCAAATAGTTATGGATCCTCTAGAGGTCACAATTTTTATCCGATTTTGATGAAACTTAAAACATATCTTTATATTCCCAAAATCTGAGTCCCTTATGCTCATTTCTGGATTATGGCCCCTGATTGTACAATTTTAGCTTGTTTTTAGCTTGTTTGAGCGTATCCTGCCTAGTAGCAGCCGCTGGTTTATAATTCTGATGGCCTCTACTACATGAAGATCTGGTAGTGGAAGGTCACGTCAGAGGTCATACGAGCAGCTTTTGACCCTATGACGTCAGACATTCGGTTAACCAATCAGCGTTGATGTTTCTCATGGGTTACCCACAGTTCTGTGCACCTCGCACGGAAAACTCACCGTAACAGACGGTTTCATTAGCTAATCCCTCACATCATCCAGAACACAGATATAACAACTCTTCCAGATCTTAGTGAAGTAAAACTAAATTTTGAACTATAATAAACAAAACAAAAGAGGTTCTGTGTTTTAATCAGATTGGGCCGCTCCCTGTATGCAAATAGTGTTAAAGTATGTAATATCAAGTTTGTTGACCCTCTAGAGGTCACACTTTTTATCCGATTTTGTTGAAACTTAAAATATATATTTATATCCTAAATATCTCAGTCCCTTTCGATATTCGCACATTTCAGACCATAACTTTCTGGATTATGGCCCCAGATTGAAAAATCATGTTTTTTTTAGGTTGTTATCTATCCATCTCTTGCAAAATGTGGGCAGTACATTGCCTGGCAACTGCTGGTTTACCTTGCCATAAATATATAAAATATGATCTTGGCATATTAAGGTTCGCTGAAATACATTGTGCAAATATAATTTATACTTGAATATAATTAAATTAGTTGTAAAGGTGGTAGTAAGTAAACCAGAAAAAGAAAGTAAGTTTATTATCATCCTGAAAGAAATTAATTTTTCTGCTTAGCCGCTTTTTTATTATATAATCTAAAATTATACAGTCTGTAACATTGGCTTAAGAAAATTACGCTTAGAGCTTTCTTTTTTTTAGTGCAGTATTTATAATAAACTAATACAATCAATGCGACATTTTGATTTAATATTTTTAATAATATTTGAATGTAGAATTTGTTTAATATATCTGAATACAGATTCTTGATTAATGCTTTAACAATAGATTATTAGAGATTAAATACTTGTCAAAGTAAAGATTATTTAGAGGCCTGTATGTACTAAATAACACAAAAATAATGAGCCAAGAGATTTATTTTATTAACTAATCTACTGAAAATATGTAATCTGTAACCTTAGACTTGAATTGATTCAATATTTTTTTAACAAATTTTTCACGTCCAAAAATGCATATTCTTAACATTCTGCTCCCATAAATTTGTAGCCATTTATTTAAGATTGACTCCAAAATTATGTATAAAAAGACATTCAAATTGACCAAGTGCATGTGATATTATCCTAGTTGGTGCAGAAAAGTAGTATGTTAAATCCTGTTGCATTTCCTTTTGCATTTCCAATGACTTTCTTTAGGTAAATTCAAACCTTATGCAAATATTGAAAACCAAATTTAAGTAGATGCAAAATAAAATACTTTTCAGATAAGAGTCCTATGTAAGTGATGCTATTTGATGAAGCAGTTTGGCTGAAAAATTCATTATATATTGTAAAACTGTACAATGTAATCTATTGGTGAATAACATGTAACTATGTGTTTTATGTGTATATTATTAAAAGAAAACTTTATTTTGAACTCTAGGTGAAAGTAAAAGAAGTCGAGCCAGTGATAAGAGTAAATCAGAACCAAAACAAGAAAAGAAAACTCCTTCAGCAAATGTACAGAAAGGATCAAAAAGTGCAAAGGAGGTTTGTACTAAATATAAAGTAAAATTCCCACATTCAATAATTATTTTATAATCATAGATAAGATTTTTTTTTCATATCATAAAGCATATTACATGTTGTGTTCAATAAATTGATAATTAAGATGGAAGCTGATTTCATTAATTTCTTTCAGAAATTTATGTTGACGGAAATATTGCTTTAATTTATTTTCACGATTTGCTTATCATAAGATACTGTAATTTATTTTTAAAAAGGGCATGAAATGTGTTTCAATTAATTTTTTCAACACTAAAATATGGTTTAAATTTACATAATGTCTTCCATCACAGCAGACGCCAAAACCTCCACCCACTGATTCTAAAGGAAAGATAACTCCTGCACCCAAGAAACCACCAAGTCGTATGGGAACCATTACACCCGGTCCAGATAGAGAGAGGACAGAGATATCAGCTAATAATTCCCCTACACCCACCCCTGAACCTAATTCAGATTCTATTCTAGACAGAAAATATAAAGAAAAACTTTACAGTATGGTATGTACTGGTATATCTATTTATCAGTAGTCAGGTTTCAGATTTGACACATTTTTTGATAAATGTTCTGTTCTTTAAGAAGAAAATAAACATTATTGTACACTTTTGAATATGAATAAATATGGACTGTACATCATAATTTATTTAATAGTGTATTATTAAAGTAATATACACATTGCATAAGTGTGTATTATTAAATTGATATACATAGATTGTGTAAGTGTGTTTTATTAAATTGATATACATAGACTGTGTGTATTATTAAATTGATATACATAGATTGTGTAAGTGTGTTTTATTAAATTGATATACATAGACTGTATAACGTTTGTATTATTAAATTAAAATACATAGAATACATCTTGTGTAAGTGTGTATTATTAAATTAAAATACATAGAATACATCTTGTGTAAGTGTGTATTATTAAATTAAATACGTAGACTACATAGGCATGTAAAATATACACAATGTATAAGTGTGTATTATGGAATTAATTATAGATGTAAACTATAAACATTGTATAAGTGTGTATTGTTAAATTGATATTCATGTAAACTAACTATGCACATTGTATACATGTGTGTAAAGTTACATTACAAACTATTATTCAAAATTGATATACATCTACCATCTAGACTATACACATTGTATAAGTTTGAATTATTATATCAATATATAATAAAAGTAAAGATTTCAGCTATTAAATATCCAAAAAAACAATAGTATGAATTGAACAACTACATGTATATCATTATTGTTTTATCACTGTCTAATATTTGCCACCAAAGAGGCATCATCAGGACGTAACATACACATTGTATAAGTATTATAATAAAATAAGCAGTGGACTAAAATCTCATTGATTTATCTTTTTTTCTTTTTTTCAGTCTTATCTTATATTGGCGGACATGGCAAGAAATGTGGAAAATTTATTCGAGGACATAAAACAAGACACTGCATTAAAGCCATAAAGTTAGAAATTTTTATAACAATATGTTAAACAACTGTGATACTTGAAATAATTTAATGTATTATTTATGATAATTTTGATAACTATTTTACAATGTATTGTATCCTGGGAATTGAAAACACTCTTCAGTTTTACTGCAATTATATTTAAAATTTAATCTTAACAGATTTTGTTAATATAAAGAAGTTGTACATTCACCATTTTCATTTGTTCCGTCAAAAACTTTGAATTATGTGTATCAATGATTTTAGTTCTACTTTCAGTAATCAGGTTTTTAAATTCATTTTGATATTAAATACTCCAAATGTAGGATCTGTTAATTATGAGAATCCATATTTGTTACACCTTTTTTGTAATTTATTGAATGGCTTTAATAAAATGGGAAACTTTAAATAGAAATCTTTTTACAAAACTCTTTCATTTCTTAATAATTCTACTGAAAAAATCATGACTGTATTATTCTATAGCAATATATGAGTTAATTCTAAATATATTTTTTGTCAGAAAACACAATTGTATTGTAAAATATTTATTACTAATAATACTTGTAATGATTAAAAAAATTGATATGATATTTATTTCTTTTATCAGTCTAATAAATCCTTGAATGAGAAGATCATCCAAGCTATGAACAGTAAACAAAGGCTACGTTTAACAATGAGGTATAAATGAAACGAAGATGAGTCGTTCATTTTTACAAAACTACTTTACTTATTGTGATTGACCTTCCTTGTAAATAAAATTGTATAGACTCTAGACTATCTTCCATTACTATAATAATATGGCATGCATAACGTGTTAGATTTTGCAAGCTTATCTAATGGCATTAATTGGAATGTTAAGAAGTGGGTCCGATGGTCACATTAACAATATCCCTTGAAATTATCATAGAACATAATTTTGTGGATAGAAATCCGTGAATAACAAATACGCTTCTTCCCACAAATTCTGGACAGCATAATATTTGAATAATGTATCAAAAACAACGATGATAATTAGGAATACAATAGAATGGCGTACTAGATTTATTTTAGTCAATAAAACTATGAACGAATTTTAGAAACACCTATCCTGGACGACCTGTGCAACTATATGAAAATGTGTGATTATTTTTTTGTTGTGAAAATCAAATTCCGAACCGACAGCACCAGTAGTGTCTGGATAATCATGAAAGTTCCAGAGAAGGTAAACAGGTTATTTTGGCGTTAATATGACTTATCAACAAACTGTTGTCTTGGAACAGTCTAATTTTGTTCTGTTCTATTTTTTGGATTACCCCACCTTATCTTGTAATAGTAGTAGTCGGCGGTTTAACGCTAGTTCCCTTAGTTTAACGCCAGCTTCCACAATAGTGATATCGCAGATTTCACCTTGTTCTAAAACATTTCTTTATTAGGAACGGGATGGTAATTGATCGACGACAGTCAAACCTGCCAATCAAACCCTCTGATACAGAAATTTTCTTACGCATAAAGTTTCTTTATTATGTTAATGGAGAGGAAACTAAAACCAAAATTTTTAAATAGATTAGCAGACGATGGGAAATGCGCGGTGACGAAATAAATCAAAATTATATAATAGGAAACTTTAAAAAAAAATTGGATTTTAGGATCTGTTTATAAATGTACCATATATAATAACTATTTTGTACCATTAATATTAACAAACAAAAGAATATAGAAATCTCGCTAAATATAATTTTTTTTTATAAATGTGACTTGTGAATTTTATGTCTTACAGGTGTTCAACAATTCGTCTATTTCACCATTACCGTGTCCAATATTAGCGATATTAAAATACATGTATAGTCGTTAAAATACATTTTTTGTTTTCATGTATTTTAGCAGTTGAATCATGCATCATCAGATTAAATTATTCTTATGTATTTTATTAAATCATTTGTCATTGTGTGTCTTTTTCTGATTTATATAGGCTAACGTAAGCTGCTCGGCGAGGGCGTTTCTATACAATACATTTTATCATATCTTATCTTTGATTGAAGAGATAAAAGTAGGGCCTATATTTTTTCACATACTGATATTCATCAGCGTAGAAAGATCTTGCATGTAAGCGTAGTGTTGGTTATATAATTATTACTTTTGTAACGAATTGTGCGAGCCGATACAATTCGTTACTAAAGTAATTAATAATTATAATTTTTGTGTGTTCCTTAAAAGCCCGATGCGCCATTTTAGCGCTATAGAATCACTTACAAACTACAATTTTGTGAAAGTTGAATCTGTAATAGGAATAACACCATCAGTTCAAAAATGGTTCAGTTCCCGTCAGTATTTACAAAGATAAATAATATGTTGAATTAAAATTTAATAGATACAGGCTGCTCGCAATGCTATAGTCCGCCGCCATTTTGTTGTCCATTGAATCCAAGCCGGGACATTATCTAGCGTTGGTATTTTAATTAAATGTTAAATAATCAGTCTTAGTACATAAAGCAGGGAGAAATAAGATATTTTAGCGAAAAATCCCAATGGCGCATCGGGAATAAGGTTAAAATGTATTGAAACATTCTAATTTAAAGGCATTAAATCGCTAATATTTGGGACCTAGAAATTGACACAAAAAGTCACAACGCATATATTAATGTAATATAAATGTATATAAACTGATTTACATTAAATCATTTGTTTTTACTGTAATTTCTTATCAGTTATGTTCGGCGAAATATGCCAGAAGTCTCAACCGAATGGCAACCTCTAGCGTCTGGTTATTCCAGTCTACGATAGTGTTTATTGCGCATGCTCTCCAGATAAGAATGTGACGTCACCGTTTGAATGACTTGTGGAATATGCCTCGTTTTTCGAGTCACTTGTTACAAATGACGCTGAAACGCATTATGGTAAAATGGTTTATTTTGTCTTAAATATTGGATATCAGATCACAACATCAATGTTGATTTAAATTGACACATTTTCAATGTCAAAGACTTTGGATGATATTGGGTTACTTTAAAATTAACAATTTCACCCAAAGATAAACGCGAACAGTATCGCCTGATAATGTTAGATAAAACTATGAACACAAGATTTACTATGAAGTCTGTATTGAATGAAGCCTATACATGTATAGTGAGAAGAATTGACTTCAAACCTCCGACTTTATTTTATGTGTAAACCATGATATCTTATTAATTCCTGGAAATATTTCCGCGTCCAATATTTGAAGGAAAGGGAGACTTCTCCCTCGAATAGCCCAAATTGTCGCTTTATGATCGAAAGAAGTTTTTAAAAAATAAATTTTAAATTTGAACCCGGTCATTTATATGCCCAAGAGAACAATTAGTAATACTTCACAGAGTTTTAAAATACTCCCCAGATGGGTTTTCTTACCATGTTAAAGACCCTACGCACGAGCAAATTATTGAAATAAATTTGACCATGTTATTCCAGAAATGACCTATCTAAATAATTCAACCACGGGCATTTGAAAGGATTAAAACCGAAATTGATTACTATGATCCTGCAATAATGTAAACTGGAATCCGATTATAAAACCAATGCACCCGTATGTATGGGGTACCAAAGGACCCGTTCTTGGTTCATATTGTATCTTGGCTTGCATTAAAGATACATTATGGGAGATTAGATAAAAAGCAGGCAGTTGTCACTATAATAGTTGAAAACTAGATAATGTAAAGGGAACTTGCTGAAAATTTCAGCCAAATTGATCCCCTACGAACCGAGAATTTAGCGATTGGATTTTCGGTCTAGCCTCGATCATCATTACTAAAGTAGGTACGATAAAAAAACATAGTCTCGATTATCCAGTTCATGGTTAAATTATTAATGAAACTTGAGCAATATTTTCATTTTACATTATCTATTTTTAAGCTATATATATATCTATATATATAGCACGACTGGTCAGCTCTTTATCTAAATCTTACATAATGTAATCTATCAACGATTGGTCAAAAACGTTTGAAATAAATTCAACAATAAATGAAACCTTTCAAGAAAAGAAATGAACGCCCGCTTTTCATCTTTCACTCCATGAAACCCTTCTCGAGAGATTGTTTTCATACTTTTAATTGTCGTCTATCTCGAAACTATTTACACATATTTTATTTGATCAGCATTCGATAATACAGACATTATTGGGATAACCCCCCATATGCAATCACACGTCAGGTCGAATATGAATGAAATTATTTATATAATAGTTTTAGGTTTTTAGAAATTAGGCGGTGCCGACACACCCTTTTTATAAACTTTGTTGGACCGGAGGGTATATTCGATCTTTCTGACCTGGAGAGTGTTCACAAGAAATAATTAAGATAATATATACTTCTACATTAAATGGATTATTTTTCATAGGCTTTGTGGAAAAGGGTGGGGCTGTCGGCAAAAATTATATTAGATCCGGGCCCAGAGGCTTGCCGTAAACAAGGGGAAAACGCAACACTTTCGGCATATATATGCGCCTGTCAGTTTTAATCAAAACAATATTCGGTCTGAGCACAAAAATTGACCTTTCCTACATATCTATTACACTTGGTGAATTTATGTTCTATAAAATTTAATTTAATTTTTGTTTGAATTAATTCCATAATGTGGTTGCAAGTCATTTTTATAAGTCATTTTTAACATATAAAATTGAAATAATCCCGAAAAAATTATTCACACACTTTAAATACCCTAAATCAGGTAGATTGGAGAAATTTTGAAATATCTCGAAAATGGCAATTTTTACCATATTGACTGATAATTTTGCAATTTTAACCATGATATTTTCTCTTAATATGACAACGATTCGGCTCCATAGTATGTGATGTAGGCGTGTTGCTTAGGATGTTTTAAAAATCCCAAATGTATTTTAATCCACAGAATCAACAATAGCTTTCTAGAAGAAAATGGATCTTGTTGATAGTCTTAATTTTATTGTGACGACACAAGATATTACTGTATGACAACTGACATGGATAGAAACGCCTCCGAAAATGAGACAAGTCCAAATCGATAAAATATCAGAATCGAGAATGTATCGGATGTTCATACAAGTTGTGTATATTATCTACCACCTCCGCTCAAACTCTTCTTAGTATATTAATCCTATATAATGCGCATGAAAGGTGATCTAAGTAAATAACATCTGATATTGACTTCAGTTTAGATTTCTTGGAATGCACATAAGATGGACGACATTACTTTTAGGCACGTATAGCCAATGGTTACTATACCCACTTTACGGCAGGTTTACACCTATCTGATTAAAATTAATTCGGCTATCTTCACTCAAAGTCGCAAAAAGAGACCTCTCGTAAAAACGATGTTTTTGTAATAAAGTTGCCTTGTATTATTTGTTGATTGGCGTTTAAACAACATTGAAATCTGAATATATATTATTCGATGGATAAACGGTTGTGATAAGATTAGGCTTTAAGGTCTAACATCGTTTAACTTCTTTATAATAAAGGTATTTTACAATTACATTGACAGTTTAAAATCACTCACCAAACGGCATAAGGAACTCCACGTATGATCACGTGTATTTGATATTCATGTCCATGAATCCCATGCAATTTTCGCGCCAAAATTTAACCTCAGTTACTACGCCCATATGGAAGGGTATCGCTGCCAATATTAAATGCTCTGCGACAATGTCGTTTCCATTGATTATATGTAAAAGGTACAATGTACAAAGTCCTAATACCGATAATGATAAAGTCAAAATATCTCTAAGGCAAGAGTTAAATGTAAAAAGTGGGAAAATGCTTTTTTTGACGTGTCTACATTTTATATTCCTCTCACTACATTTCACATTTGTGAACTTGGATATAGTAACCATTGGCTATACGTACATGCAATTTAGATTTTTCACCTTGTGTGGTCTTTAAACAGAGAGCGAGAGACAGAGAAATTGGGTTTAACGTCCACTCAACACAAAGTAGGTCATTTCGGAACTAACATATGGTTTAATTTTTATTTCAATAATTCGCTTGCGCTTAGGGTCTTTAGCAGTGGGAGGAAACCGGAGAAAACCCACGAGGTTGGACAGGCGACCCTACTCCTTGTCACGTACAACCGGGGATTCGAAACCACGCACGTGCTAACCATTCGGCCATCCAACCCCCCTGGTCTTTAAACAAGCCTCGTTCGGCCTAAAGCACGCGTAGGCCTTGGCAAAAATATTTCCAAAAATATTACGAATTTAGAAACATGCTAGACTACAAAAATGAAATGATTTACACCAGAATTTTCTTGGCGAAGTTTCAAGGTAATTATAGTGTCACGTGTTTATAGTACTGTAAGTATTAAAATGTAAAATGAGTCCATACTTTTTAATTTATAAAATTACAACGTGGGTCCAGGAATTTTTCTCAAATTTTTGTAATGAGAGGGGGCTGCACAGCGCAGAGAGATGTGGCCGTGCCCCACACAACGTCAAAACCCCCCAGAAAACGTCCATTTGCTCATAATCATTGTCGAAATTATAGGAAATATTTTTTTTTTTTTTTTTTTTTTTTTGGCTTAGATGAAGTTATTGTCAGTACAGATATCATTGTCGACATTGTCGATATTTTAATTTTTGGCTTAGATACAGTACAGAAATTAGTCGGATGTTTCAGAGACAAATATTGTCACGGCCAATATTAGCATGGAGTTGAACATTGTTGTAAGCTTATCTTTATGATCATCGGGATGATTATAATACATACATTATACAAGAGCTAAATCTGCCTAATGTAGGTCTTTCTTTAGGCCTCAAATGTTATATAAACTATTAATTAGACATTTATTAATAAAACAAGACCATAATCAACTCTCGATGGCATCGGATACTCGAGATTTTAACTAGATTAGAACGGTTCGCTATTTAAAAATTTAATTTAAATAGGAAAGCGAGGCTAAGTCTCGAATATACCAGTGCACTGGTTACCACAATGCATACATCTTGTCAAACCACAAACAGTCATAACTAGATAATGAAATATATTGAAATTACTTTATTCAGAGCGAAGTTATGGCTGTTTGAAGATACAGCGTATATCGTTCATTATCAAAGCAACGATACTTGACAACCGAGACTTTGCCTCGATTATCCATTTATCGTTAAATTTTTAATCCCTCGGATGTTTAAATCAATTTACATCTCGGCCACCCTACTATCTAGAGAGTTGATTATAGGTTTGTTATATTAATAAATATCTAAATAATAAATTGTATAACATTTGAAGCCAAAAAGACCTGCAAGTGCAATAGGCATATTTAGCTCTTATGATGCATCTTTAATGGGCTGAACATGAGAGTTTGTAAAATACATATAATATTTAATAATCAGAGTTTGCCGATTATATATTACTTTCCAATGTATCCATAAGTTTATATTTATTAATTGAGAATGATAACTCAAAGTGTCGGGTGGAAATATAAATATAATATGTCAGTTTCAAATTCAAATATGGGAGTGCTCTGTTATTAAGGCCAGGGTTTAGAATCTGCATCCCACAACTTAGTTGAGTTGACAATTCTGGATACCTTCAGGTAGGGTATAATGTAGTTCAGCTCTGAACGTATGTCACATTACATTCGCCCTAATGAGACCCTGTACGTTTAGAGCTGAACTAGGTATAATGTGACAATGTCGGTAGGCTTTAATAGTGCCCCATTAAAAATCCGATACGGTCATTGTAG